GCTTGAGATGTGGATCCCTGCAGCTCCTCCAAAGTTACCATGCACTTTTTGACTCTTAATAATGCTCCATGCCTGGTCTTGTAGTTTATGTGGACAGTCATATATTGTTTGGTGTGAATATGCTGTTTCCGTGCTCCGATGATGGATTGAACAGAGCTTTGTAACATGCCCAGAGCTTTGGACATTGTTTGAAAACATAAACTTCTCCAACATTTTCCCTGACCGGTCTGTTGTATTCCTTAGTCTTCCTGATGTCTTTTGTTTACTAATGCTCTCCAAGGAATTTTTTACAGCCTTCACAGAACAACACAACTGTATTTATGCGACTTGTTACGGCAACCCTGGATTTTATTAAGGGGTATCAGGGTAGGGACAAATGGGATAATTACAAATACAAACCACAGTTTTGTTATTTCATTTTCATTTAATTTTCAATTCACAGTGATGCAATACATTATTTTGAGCTGTCACATGAAACTCCACTAATATATACTGAAGTTTGAGCTTCTAACATGATGAAATGCAAAAAAAAAAAAAGTTGATGCTTTGATTTTTGTTTAGGTGTCTCACATTCACAAAGGTATGCCCATGTCCCTGTGCCAGTGTGCACTTACATTTGTATATATCTGTGCTGACAGGACGAACGGCTGGCTCCCGCCTGCAGTCTGGCAGTTGTATACCCAAGCATGCTGTCATCACCATCAGTCTCCCGGCTCCTCGCTGCGCTACATCCCCCGTAGGGCAGTTCTCTACTGCCCTGGCAATGATGAACGAAAATTGAAGAAACTGGCCTTGCTGGATGTTGACTGCGCCGTTCTGGACTGTGAGGATGGCGTGGCCCTCACCAAAAAGGTACAAAAAAAAAACAAAAAAACACCTATTGTGCCTCGCATAAATGAAAATCAGCTTGCTGTAAACGGGATAGCGGGGAACACACAAACACATGCTTTATTTTGTGATCTTGGCCTGATTTTAATTTCACCTCCCTCTGCCAGACAGGTGCTTGCTCTTAATCACTGAAAAGGAAAACTACCTAAGTGAGATGTTTAAAACGAGCACATTTCACCCCATTGTGCTTGCAGAAAAGCCCCGGGTGCCCCCCCCGCCCCCCCTCATCAGCCTTTTAAAGCAAGGTGACCACGTCCCACTGGGTGAGCAGTGGGAAAGCGCCAGATGCAGCAGGTTAAAAGCATTCTCCTCCGGCCCACTCAACCTCCCCATTGGCCCGGCTGAACTGCCCATGAAATCGTGATTGGAGCGCAGGATAAAGAGGCAGCCCAGGCAAAAAAAGTTAAACAACAAAGGTTTTTAAGTCATGATAATAAAGATGATTGATATGGCTGGAGGCTGTTCCTGTAGCAGACAAAGACAATAAGCTGATGGCCTGTGTGACTGACAGGCCAGAAACTGTGACCCTGCGCTGGTGGATCTCAGAGCTTCTGTCTTTATAATGTGTTGAAGGGGGGAAACGTGGAGGAGAATGCAGCACAGAAGGCGCCATGCAGGCTAGTGGAAAAAGTCTGAGGCTGGACTCCTGCCAAAACCGCTCCGGTCCAACCTACATATTTCGCACACTATAGCCCACACTGGCCAATCACTGTATATCCGACTGGATTTGGTGGGAATTATTATATATTTTGAATAAGACATGAATGATTTTTCTGAAAAGCCTTTTTTTTTTTCTTTTTTTTTATGTCAGCGATTAGCTGGTGGGTTGCACTTGTCACCCTGACATGTGCTGTTGCAATTGAAGACAAAAATGCATTAGCAACAGGGTAGAACCATTCCTTTTAAGATGGAAAATAATGTTCCTCAGCAGGTTTACCACTCCGTCTTCCACATGCAGCCCTCTGAGTAATGCACATCAAAATACCAACACTAACTTCAGGAAAATTGCATTCTACATCAGTGGTTTTTCTACCCAATAATCCCTTTACTTCCTCCTTTTCTCATTTTTAAACATCAGCACAGCACAGGGTTTTGCCACCGCATTGCTATTCGCCGTGTTAGCTTTCAGCTCGGTGTGGAATGCTTCAGAGCTACAGTATGTTTTCTTTGTTGTGCTGTAATTTGCTCCATAAATAAATTTGCCTTCCCCGCTGCCTTTCTTTCAATACTTTCACGGTATTGACATCTTTTTCTTTTGTCCTGGCAGAATTAGCTGTCAATAGTTGTTGGTTTATAGCGTTTCTTCCAAAATCAGTACCTTATTTGGGGCATCATACGGTGCCAGAGATTTGAATTTCAAGACATTTATCTTTCCTAGACGGAGAATTTTTGCAGAGGATTTATAGGCAGTTAAACTGCAGCCATTCTCCAGATTTCCTTAATTTTGGTAGTCATGAAACATTTAGTTTTTAGCCATATTTAAATGTTCATGTTTTAAGGACTTTTTCATTTAACTATGTAAAAGGCAAATATCACATTTTGTGACTGGAACACCTAAAAAATATATAATTGTTTAATGTAAATGAAGAGCAATCAACCTTTTTCATTGATTTTTTAAAATAGTTAAGCAATTTAAAATTCAACATTCGGCTCTCTCTAAATGGATTATGACATAATAAACGTCACCTGCAGTGCTTATAGAACATATTTAGACCCCTTCATTTTCCACACGTCCACATGAGGCTGATGCTTTTTACCTGTCAGATATACATGTAAGGTTTGCCTAAAAGAATGAGACATTTCGCTTAGTGTTTCATAGTATTTATCAGTCCCTCCAGGATTTTGATTGCTTTTTAGATCACAGATTTTTCTTTAGAAACACTTGGAAGATAATTTTTCCATATTTACAAGAGGTTTAAAGTGACTTTACATATGTCACAGAATGAAGACTTTTTGAATCATCTGGAGCTTTAATTGTTGGAAATGTCAGCTTTTGTTTTTTTTTCCCCAGAGGGAGACTTTTTTCACTTTTCTCATGTGTCAGATTGAGGTCTTGGACCAATTCAATTTTTGAGGGTATATGTTCAGAAAAACATGATGAAAACATGCCTTAAGTTTGACGTCAGCTGCGGTCTCTCTTCGTTTGGAGTTTATAAAATGAGAGCAAGGTGCACCCCTAAAGTTTGCAACATTTTCCTAGATATCCATCTGTTTTTCTACCTAAAAACATGAAAAAATAATGTCCTCAGTCCCTCCTCTCTTGTAAATGTGTTGTAAGTCAGTTAACTTTTAAAGTCTAACAAGTTTTGGCACATTTTTCTCCTTAACTTGATTGAATGGGTGTCTTTAGTAAATTGTGATGACAATCATTCACCAAATTCAATGCAAAGCATACTTTCTACTAAGCTCAGATGTTGTTAAATACACTTTCACCTTATCTGTGCTGACATATTTGCTGGAAGCTTTCCAAACAGACCTCCTAACGTCTTTTATTAAGCCAATGGGTCCCACTGATCGGTAAATGAATGGCAGTTCTAGCTATTACAATCTACGTTGCTCTGTGTGTATTCGCGCTGACACAGTGTCTACAGTGTCTAGCCTCGTCGCGATTATATTCACCATGACAACCACACAGTCCGCTCTGTGGGTTCGGCAAGGCTCACAAGGCCCTCGACAATGACTCAAAGTCTCGTAATGCATGTCTAATGGGAGAAAAGCACAGGCTTGGCTTTTTAAATGTCATCTTGAAGCAGTGTTTTAGACGAAGGCCACAATGGGCTGGGTGAAGTGTGAACTTAGTCGCTGCGTACGCATGGATGTCCCTTACATAGGGCCGCTGCTGCTGACCACCGCCGTTTTATTATACGTCCGCTAATGCATTCTATTCATTACTCGTCACCTTCACCTGAAAAGGAAGTTTATGAATTTAAACCAAAATAAAAAAGTACATGATCAGCCCTCCCTCCCACTCTATTGGAAGTTGAAATCTGGAACTGTGTGTGGTAATTGCCACTTTGACTCATGAAATGTCTGCACTTCAGATTGGCTGAAACGGTGAGTGTTTAAGTGGGTAGAGAGGTAAGACAGGGGAGTAAAGCCAGAGTTTGCTAACTGTCACTGTGGACCTGATGGGGAGGAGGAGGAGGTGGAGGAAAGGAAAGCAGGGGAAGACAAGGCTGACTGCTCTAACACTTTTACACATATCATCATATCTGTATGATCAGTGGGGTGGAGGAATAAGGAGGGCAGGTTAAAACCCTGGAGCGGAACTGACGGCTACACCTGTCCTCTCTCCTCCTCTCTCCCTTGCCGTCTTGTTCTCTATATTGCCTGTCTCCCCCTCTTTGGTGTCCTTAGGGTTACGATTGTTTATCTCTCCCTCCCCCCATGTTCCCTCTCCGTCTCGTAGTGCCCTTTGGTCCAGTATTCCTCCTGGTGTTCCTCTTTCCCCTTCTCCTTTCCCCACATGGGTCCCTCCATCCTCGATGACTCCCCCCTGCCTCCCTGCCGCAGAGAGTCTCTCCTAATCCCTGGAAGTTTGGAACTAATGAACTAACTGCTGAGCCGCTGCCACGGAGCTTGGTCCCAAACTATACTGTACTTCACACTCGATTTCCTCTCCAGATGGCATAGTGGCGCGGCCGACACGACGGGGAGCGCCTCTCACACACCAGCAAACGTACACAAGACGGGCACAATAGAAACATGCACACGCGTCTGTACGTGCTAACGCTCGCGCGAGCGTGCACACACACAGACACACACAGACGTTTGCACATAAAAAGCAGAATTGGTAAGAATAAAATAGAGATGGAGAAAACTGCGTGCAGTTCAGTTTAGGTACATTCAGACAACAAACGGCACCCTGAACCCAGCGTACCCCCCCTGGGTTTTCACCCCGGGTTCGCTACATTTCCTCGGAGACGCTGAGCTATTGGGTAGATACGGCAAATTAACTTCGCTGAAGTGTGAAACGTAGCTGCTTAGTGAAGTGTCAGTGCTCCAGCAGTGGACACTCAGCAGCTTTTTAAAGCTTTTAAATCAGGAAGTGTGCTTCAATTGTGGTAATGTAGATTTTTGATCCTGTAAGTAACGAAACACGAACCAAGATATGAGGTTAACAAATGACGGCTGCAGGATTTTGTAAAATTATTGAAGCAACTTGCAAAGAAATTGAAACGGATGCCAATATTTAGAACTTAGACCTATTGCTGATATTTTAAGCTGACACCGTTTGTTTTATTTTCCAGATATGATAGTGATTATTTCTTGTCACATTTAGACTCTGACTTGAGCTGAACGAACCAGTAGCTTCCTTTCCCTTCAGTGGTTCTATTCATGTTGTGGTGGAGTCATCTCAAGTGGCTACAGATTTGTTTTTGGTCATACTTAAGGTACTTTTTCTCAGTCAAAAAAAGTTGAGTACCTTCAAGAATTGTTTTTTTCAGTCCTAAATATTTATACATAAATTCATTCACGTAATCATCTCTTATTTCCCCCTCATATAACAGTATTCTTATTTTGATTACATTTTCACCTCACACGCCATAAGAACATCACAGAGGGGATGAGTTAGGCCATTACACAATACTTTAACTTATTAACCAAAATATGACTGAAAATATAAAGTTTTCCTTTCCTAATATTCAAACAATGGGCTGTATTTATGATGCCCACTGCCAGCATCGTATTACCAGTAGTGGTAAAATACCTCTAACAGTAAAGGTACTCTGATCCCAGCCATACTGTTAGATTAAGGAGCTTGTAAAAACCATCAATTAGTTTGTTTTCATTGTTTTAGCAACAACACTTAACAAAAGTGATAATTATCCATATCTAATCTGAATGACTAGCGAGAATGAACGACAGATTTGATTGTTGTCATGATTTATTACTGACACTTACAGTTCCTATAAAATAAATGCATCTTAAACTTTATTTTAACGTATGCTTTAAGTTGGCTA